ATGGAGGATCCTCTTCCTGGTGGCAGCAGCTACATGTGAGGGGCTCCCCAGTCCCAGGGTGAGGAAGGGACTGGAGCCAGCCAAGGTGGGTTTACCCACTCCTGTCTTCCCTGCACAGGTGCCCACTCCCAGGTCCAGCTGGTGCAGTCCGGGGCTGAGGTGAGGCCACCTGGGGCCTCTGTGAAGGTGTCCTGCAAGGCTTCCGGATACACCTTCACCAGCTACTATATGCACTGGGTGAAACAGGCCCCTGGACAAGGGCTGGAGTGGATGGGACGTGTTGACCCTGAAGATGGTTCCACAAGTTACGCGAAGAAGTTCCAGGGCCGAGTCACCATGACAGCAACCACATCCACAAACACAGCCTTCATGGAGCTGAGCAATCTGAGACCTGAGGACACTGCTGTGTATTACTGTGCAAGAAACACAGTGTGACAAATCACATCCTGAGGTGTTCAGAAACCCTGAGAGAGATGCAGCTGTGCTGGGCTGAGGCAGTGACGGGGACTAGGAAGACTGAGCCTCTCTTTGATGTAGGATTATGAAAGCAGAGGGGAAATGGAGTTGATTATCTGTAAAATATCTTCAGTGATGTTTTTTTTTTTTTTGAGACAGAGTCTCACTTTCTTGCCTAGGCTAGAGTGAGTGCCGTGGCGTCAGCCTAGCTCACAGCAACCTCAATCTCCTGGGCTCAAGCGATCCTCCTGCCTCAGCCTCCCGAGTTGCTGGGACTACAAGCACGAGCCACCATGCCCGGCTAATTTTTTATATATATATATATATTAGTTGGCCAATTGATTTCTTTCTATTTTTATAGTAGAGACGGGGTCTCGCTCAGGCTGGTTTTGAACTCCTGACCTTGAGCAATCCGCCCGCCTCGGCCTCCCAGAGTGCTAGGATTACAGGCGTGAGCCACCGCGCCCGGCCTTCAGTGATGTTTTAATGAACCAGATCATTGCGTTTCTCCCACTCCATTAGGGTGTTCATCAAAACAAGTCCCCATGAGGGTGAATTTTACCTGCTAAATAGGTTGCATTAAGGAATACCTGCAGAGGTGGTAAAGCATTACTTCTGGGTGTGATTGTGAGGGTGTTTGCAGAGGAGACTGTCAGTCAGTGGAATGACTGGCATTATCCACACTCAGGTGGGTGGGCAGGGTGCAATCAGCTGGGGGCTCAGGCAGCTGGAAAGGCAGCAGGAGGCACAGTCATTCCCTCTCTCCCTCTTCAGGAGCTGGGACAGCCTTCTCTTCCTGCACCTGCACATCAGCACACCAGGTTCTCTGGCCTTAGGTTTCAGAATGAGAGTCACCCACTAGTCTCAGGCCAGCAGAGTTGGACCGAGCCATGCCAGCAGATCCCATGGGCTCTGTCTTCCCTTTAATGTATCTGTCTGTCTGTCCATAGCTATCTTTCTGTCTACCTATCTATCTATATCTATATCTACATCTATATATCTATATATACACCAACCTATCTACCAACCTATCTATGCATATGTATATATATATGTATGTATATATATATATATATATATATAATCTGTCTATCTATCTACCTATCATCTATCTATCTAGATACCCATCTAGATACCCATCTATCTATATATATATATATATATATATATATATAATCTGTCTATCTATCTACCTATCATCTATCTATCTAGATACCCATCTAGATACCCATCTATCTACCTATCTATCTACCTACATATATATATAATCTGTCTATCTATCTACCTATCAACCTATGTAACAGCCTAAGAAGCTCCCAGGGTGACAAGAGCCACATGCAGGATAAAGTCCAGGGAGGGAATCAGGATATGTGCTGGGCTGAGCATGGAGGAGAAGTCCTCAGATCATGGGGGAACGTGGGGCTGGGACCTTGTAAGGGCTGGTGGGAGGGGGAACTTGAGCAAAGGTGAGTCTGTGCTCAGAATACTCGGCCCTCCTTTGCCATGTTTAAAATGAGCATCATAGACTCATTCGAACTCCAAAGTTGTCCTCCTGGGGATAAGGTCAGAAATGTCCCCCAGGGCCTGGGAAACACAGGAGAATCCAGATCTCAGTCCTTAATAAGGACTAATAATAAGTCAGGGCTCCCACAGGCAACTCTCATTCAGATGAGAAGGTCAATTCATGCTGGGCTGGGGAAGCTCATAGCTCCCTCCTCACACAGGGCTGAGGGCTCTGGGAAGGTCAGAGATGTGGTCTATGGCAAGGTGGGATGGTGTCTCAGCTGTTACTCAAGGCCCAGGGGACAGTTGTGACAACACATGATGGCAGGGTCTGGTCCTTTTGTCTTGTCCCAGGCAGCGGCAGTAGTGGGCCTGGGGTTGGGGAAGCTGCACAGACCCTCTCCTCACCTGTCCTGTGTGTGGATTCTCCACCAACACCAGTGGCTTCTGTGGGACTGGGTCTCCCTGCCCATGGGGAAGGGTCTGTCATGGATAAGATGCTTCCATCATGATGAGAACTTAAGGCATAGCCAGTGCGTAAAGAGTTGTCTTTGACTCCAGAAGCACATCCAGGATCCAGATGTCCCTGCAGCTGACTTCCCCAGGAACTTAGGACACAGCCCTGTGTGTCTGTGCCAGACACAGAGAGGGGACATCAGGGTGAGCCCAGACACAGACCTGCAGGGGCACACGGGGCCTACAGGGGGTGCTCAAGTCCCACCAGGGGCTCATCCCCAGCTCAGCAGCAGGTGTGGAGGGAAGCTAAGGTTTCTTTTCAGATCCTGGAATTTCCTGTCTCCGCCTGTCATTCTTCTTCTTCAGGGCTCTTAGAGTTTTCCCTTGTAATGCTCTGGCTTCTTCATCTGAAACGGGATGACTTGGGACATGATTTCAATACAAATTTAAGTTTTTTGTTTGTTTGGTTTTTTTTTTTTTTGCATTATCTGCTACCCATAAACTTTCAGGACAATCTTTGAAAGATTGTACAAGAAATCATTGATCCTCAATCAATATCCTTACATCATGGAAGGGTTTTGTGTTTGCTACGCTGTGTTGGTCATTGAGGAGGAAACAATTCTCTGGAGAGACGATTCTGTATATGCCAGGCATTTGTTTAGCTCCTGCCTTTTACCTGCCTTATGTGGGGAAGAACCATCATTTCAGTATGTCCTCCCCTCCATCTGGCTTCTGATCGTCCACCCTCAGATAGTTCCTCCTCACACCGTTCTGTCAAAGCTCCTGGTCTCCTGGACATCCACACAACAGGGCAGCAGGTCCCCTAGTGGTGATGGGCTATGCACTCTGTGGGGCAGGTCAGATGCAAACTCAAGTGGGGAACATCCCGGTTAAACCCACTGCATGGTGGGCCTCCCTCAGCACCCTGTTGGGGCCCTCACGGCCACCCTTTATGTCCTCAAGGATGGGGTCTGCCACTATCCTTGCCCCCTCCTGGCTGTACCTGAAGGTGATTGCAAGCCCAGGGATTGGGTCCCACAGGAAGTGGGCTTACCAGACCTCTAATCTGCATCCTGAATCTCCCACACAGGTGTCTGCACTCAGGTGCAGCAAGTGCAGTCTGGGCAGAGGTGAAAAGGGCTGGGAGTCTCTGACAATCTCCTGTAAGGCATCTGGATACAGCTGTCAGCTACCACATCAGCTGACTGTGCCAGATGCCTAGGAAGGACCTGGAGTGGGTGTGGATGATCTGCTCTAGTGACTCAGATACCCACTACTGCTCATCCACCCAAGGACATGTCACCATCTCAACAGACAACTCCATGGGCAATGCATAGCTGCAGTGGAGCAGCCTTAATGCCTTGGATGTGGACGTGTGCTGCTGTGGGAGGTACAGTGAGGGGATATCGATAGAGCTCAGGAGCAAAGGTCCCCACAGGTGTGCCAGGACCCACTGTACTCAGTCATCCCAGGACACGGGGGGGAGGGTGGTGGTTGATAAGGGCTGGTTTCCTGTCAAGGTCATGGCTGCTTCTCAACATAACAATTTTCTCTGGGGAACCTCTCTGAGTTCACAATTCTCTGCTTCCTTCCTCAGTGTGTGAGTTAGATATGTCTGTGGTAATGAAAGAAAATATTCTCACCTGCTCAAAAGGCAGAGCTTGGCTTCCAGTCACTTTCTCCTGTCCCAAATGTACATTAATTATCAACACTTTTGAGTAAGTCTGAAAACTGGTGACAGATTTTCTCTTGCACAACACAATGCAGCACAGCACACGGGAGTCGGCAAGCAGGACACAGGGCCCATGGGATATCATGGGTAAAGAGTTCTTCCCCCATCTGGACACCAGAAAGAGGCTCATTTCCCAGCTCACGAGCAGGTGTGGAGGGAAACTGAGGTTTCCTATAAGACCCTGGAGTTTTCTGTTTTTGCCTGTCACTCTTCTTCCTCAGGAGTCCAGGATTTCTTCCTTGTAATGCCATGGCTTCATTCATCTGTAATAGGATGGGTTAGGACCTGATTTCTACTCAAAATTAACCCTTAATTGTTTTCACTTTTTTTCTATGCACAAACTTGCAGTAAACATTTGAAGTATGAAATCAACAAACCGCCATCCACACCATAGTGCCATTGTTGGCTTTCTGTTGCCTACACTGTGTTTGTCATTCAGGAGAAAACACTTCTCTCGAGAGACAACTCTGTATGTTCTGGGGGTTTGTTTAGTCCCTGCCTTTCACCTGCCTTGTGTTGAGAGGAACCTTCATTTCAGTGTTTTCTCCCATCCACCTGGATACTGGTAGTCCACCCTGAGATGGTTCCTCTTCCTTATTGTTCTATCAGAGCTCCTGGTCTCCTGGACATCCACACAACAGGACAGCAGGTCCCTTTGTCTCTTCTCATGCTTGGTGAATCAGCTCCTTCTTCTCATTCTCACTGAAGGCAGATGTGTTTCTGCAGCTGATCATGCTCCTGACAACACCCTGGTCTCGGTGGTAGCACCCCACCTCTGACTCTTGTCTCTTGAGTGGAGGAATAACACTTTTCCATACAGCTGCTTCTCCTGGTGTGGCAGAGAGAGCACCATCTGCTCTCCCTGGGGTTGCATGGCAGGGGCTGGTCAGGAGCTCATAACTGTGCACCTACATCCTGTGGATAGACCTGGATTCATCCTGTCAGGTGCAGGGTTTCTGCCAAGGTGAGATGTTAGACCAAGGGCCAAGCCTCAGTGTCTCCTGCAGCCTGGGTTATGAGAACTCTAAGTAAGCCCCAGTACTTAGAAAGGTTGTTATTGTCATGGTATGTAAACCAACACAGAGCTTAGAACTCAATAACAGTGTATCTTCCAATTCAATGTTTGTCACAGATGCAATTTTCATTCAGTTTTTTACAAAAAGATGTTTTTAAATGTACTTGTTTATTAGTATCGGAATAGATGGACATACACATAGAAGAATAAGATTGGAATGACCATCTCATGCTATAAATAGAACTGAATTTAATTCAGTTAATTAAAGTAATAACGTAGAAGAAATGGGTGCTTGTGAGTGGACATAGTGTTAGTTTTTGCATATGCACAAGCATTTATCATCAGTTTGGTTTCTCCTGCAAGGAATTGTTCTTACATTCTTGGATCTGTGATTTTATATCTGTCATTCATTTTAGAACATGTGTGACCATTTTTCCTTCAATACATTTTTCCATATCTGGTCTTTTTTTTCTACCTTTGGGATTCCAATCACATTTATATGACACTATTAGGTACTAATGTTCTTCTGTCTTCATGATTATTTTCCTTTGCATTTTGCTGGTTTAGTTCCTTGGACCTATTTTCAACTCCATGATTTCTTTCTTTTTGTATTTATTTTTATTTTTTATTCATATTATGGGGGTACAAATATTGTTAGGGTTACATACCTTGCCCTTGCCCCCTGACCCCGCTATGCTAGAGCTTCTAGCGTGTCCAGCCTCCAGGTGGTGGGCACTGAACCCACTGTGTAAGTACATACCCTTCCCCTCCTCCCTCTTCCACCTGCCCACTTCCCGATTACAGATTTTTTTTCCAGACATTTTGGTTACAAGGTATATCTTTACCTCTCCCTAAGAAGGGATAGGGATAATTCCTTCCCCCCCACAATGTTCACCACTTCCTTAAGATGTGGATCTCCCCCCCCCCAAATCCCTGCTAAACACTACCGTTTTTGAGCACCACCAGCATTAACAGATCTAGAAAAAATAATTCTTCACTTTGTATGGAACCAGAGAAAACCACGTACAGCCAAAGCAATCTTAAGTAAAAAGAACAAACTGGGAGGCATCAGTCTTCCTGACTTCAAACAGTACTATACAGTAATAATAGTTAAATCTGCATGGTACTGGCACAAGAAGAGACGCATTGATATCTGGAATAGAACTGAGATTCCAGAGATGAAACCATTTGTATGTGGTAACCTAATCTTTGATAAAGCAGACAAAAATACACTTTGGGGAAAAGATTCTCTCTTCAATAAATGGTGCTGGGAAAACTGGTTAGCAACATGCAGAAGAGCGAATCAGGATCCCAACCTCCCACCTCTCACAAAAATTCACTCAAGATGGATAACACATCTAAACCTAAGGCATGAAACTTTAAGAATCCTAGAAGAAGATGTTGGGAAAACCCTATCAGATATTGATCTAGGCAAAGAATTCATGATTTCTTTCAAAAAAGGAGACAACCCAGCTGGTTTGTTTGTCCAAGGCCTATTTGTACTGAATTCTTTCTGAATACCCAATGCCTTTCCAATTCACTCTTCCTTACAATCCACATTTTTCTACCTAAGTTAATTACCTTGTGTTCTAGTATAATTATGTTCCCTTAAATATTTTAACACATTAATGATACATACTCCCTTTACATTTCCTAATTAAGACAGTTGTAATATATCTCATGTACAAACCTCATTGTCATAATTTCTCCATTATGAATTTGAGTTTTGATTTGGGACACTCTATAATTTTTCCTGACTGCCAGACATCATTGTTTTACTTTTGCCATTGACTTATTATTTCATTTCATGTACTTATTGTCCTGTATATATCCACACCTCACATTTTCCAGGACTGTACTGTGCAAGTTTGTGTGACTCAAGTCAGACTTGTATTTGAAATTTATTGTTGAAGTGGCTCCAAGTTTTGAAGGTTTTCTGTGCTATGGGCACAAAAGTGTTTAGATACCTTGACTGACACACAGTATGTGCTTCCTGCTTGACTGTCTGTTAATATCCCATGTTGTAGAAACAATCTGTTTCTACTTGTCCAGGTTAGTCTAGATTTTGCATTTACCTGACACTTGTTGATGTGATGATAGAGGTTGTCCTAAGAAGGCCTTCTCTGACTTCCTCCCTGAGCCAGGTTCCTAGGAAGACATCATGCCCCCTGGTCTGCACTGTGACCTTGCATGTTGTCCTGTCCCTCCAAAGAGGTGATGCTGCCCTGGTACCCTTCTAAATGTCTTTCTTTTCCAGTTTATTGTCTCCCACAGCTTGGACAATTATCCATCAGCCCCTACAGTTTCCATATTTGCTGCCTATCCCTGACAATATAGCCTTTGTTTCCATGATAGAGTAGAGAAGTGTTTCTGGCATAACTTAAGTGGTGACATCTCTTCCAATCCCATTGTGGCTAGGGCACTGATTTCTGCCTCTTATCCCCAGAATGGTAATACTATAGATCTGTAGAGGAAAGGAGGGGAGGGTCTGAATGCATTTCAAAGACCTGTTCTCCCTCCCTCTCAGACAGAACCATCAGTGAGGGCATCACCTTACCATGTCTCCCCAATCCTGGAGGAAATGACCTAAAGGAAACAGAACAAGAATTCCCCAAACATGTGATCACTGTAAAATCTAAACTGCAATCCCTTTACTAAATACAGCTTCTATCAATCCAATGTCTATGTCCAGCATAGTCTTGTCCTAGCCGACATGTCATCTAGTGGAATGTGCCTATAAGCTAATCCTCTGGTCCTGGTTCTCCCCTCAAGTACTGATCTCTCTGTAGATTTCAAGTTTGCTGTTTTTCATATAACTTCAATTACCTGAAATATTAAATAAAATGTGCTCATCTTCAGCTTCTGCAGTCATGCTTTATATATGGTGATGATGTTGCTATTGTTTTGGTTGATGTAGAAGAAGAGATTTTTTTATCATCTGCCTCCTTCTTCCAGGTGAAGAGAAGCTTTATCCATAATAGTAAGGAATTGGAAGCAATCACAACATTAACCAGTAGCTTAATACACAAGTATTTTTTGTAATTGATCCATTAGAACACTACCCATCATTAACAACAATGACAGTTTCATGCACACTGCAGCGTGGCTCTATCCACAGTATGCACTGTGAGTAAAAGAAGCAAAAAAGCACCTGCTACATGATTCCACTATTATAAATTCTAGAAAGTGCAAGCTGAAGTAACATAAACGACATTGGCAGTTGTCTGGGTAAATGGAGGGAGAAGGGAGGAGAAAGAAGGAGAAATTTTTGAAGGACAAGTGTAAACACTGAAGGAACTCAATATCCACAATATCCCAGACAGGGCAATGTTAATGTCAGCATCTTTCACTTGTGGAATTTAACTATGTTAAGGCCACTGTATACCAACTATGCCTCATTAAACTTAATATGAACATTTATTAGATTATTTGTTGAGGAAGACATGGTGAACAAATAGAAAAAAATTCAAAATTTAGGTACTTTCAAATATACCTGCATTCAGCCTGTCTATCCTAGGTTTTTACATTTTTTAATAAAAAAAATAGAGGGAAGATTTGCTTTGCATTCTTATTGTGGAATTGGGGTTTTAGAAACCACCCTGTGAATGTCCAGCTCTGCTCTGCAGTGGGTTCCAAGGATGTCATCATAGAACAGACATTGAGAAGTATTCTTCCAAGGTATGTGTTCCTGGACATATCTCACATCTTCTATATGTGTCTGGGGTTACTTACACATCTGTAAAATATGTGGAAACATCATACCTACAGCACACAGTTTGTATGTGTTTGTAAACTGCATAAGTGAACAGGACATAATTATTTATCACAGTAAAGTCTCACAGTTTTTCTCTGGGCTCTCACATCCCTCAGGCTTACCCACCCAGAGCTTGCTATATTGCAGGGGACATGCAAATAGGGCCCTCCCTCTGCTGATGAAAAGCAGCTCAGCCCTCACCTTGCAGCTCTGGGAGAGGAGACCCAGCCCTGGCATTCCCAAGTGTCCCCATTTGGTGATCAGGACTGAACACAGAGACTCACCATGGAGTCTCGGCTGAGCTGGGTTTTCCTTGTTGTTCTGTTACAAGGTAATCCATGGAGAACTAGAAATATTTTGTTTTTGAGGGGATGTGACTGAGAGAAACAGGGTGTGTATCACCGCTTCTGACCAGGATGTGTCTGTGTTTGCAGGTGTCCAGTGTGAGGTGCAGCTGCTGGAGTCTGGGGGAGGCTTGGTCCTGCCTGGGGGTTCCCTGCGACTCTCCTGTGCTGCCTCTGGATTCACCTTCAGCAGCTATGATATGAACTGGATTCGCCAGGCTCCAGGGAAGGGGCTGGAGTGGGTCTCATACATTACTACTGGTGGTGGTAGCACATACTACGCAGACGCTGTGAAGGGCCGATTCACCATCTCCAGAGACAACAGCAAGAACTTACTATATCTGCAAATGAACAGTCTGAAAGCTGAGGACACGGCTATGTACTACTGTGCTAGAGACACAGTGAGGGGACCTCAGTGTGAGCTCAGACGCAAACCTCCTGCGGGGACGTGCAGGGACACCAGGGGGCAGTGTGGGACCCTGGAAGCCTGAGAAAGAGCTGAGAGGTATGAGCAGGTGGCCAATAACGGTTGGTTTCCTGCCAGAATCTGGGGATTCCTGTCTAGAAATTTCATCCTCAGACCTATCTTTCGTGACTCTGCACTTGTCATTGTAGTGTCTGAATTAGAAATGTCTTGTAGTAAATGAACACATTCTCCCCTGGACATAAGGCAGAATTCAATCACATGGGAAGAAATGATCCTGTTGTGTTCAACTGGATCAGAGTCTTGAGGAAGCCCAGGGGACCTGCTTAGCATTTTCCAACCAGACTCAGTGCACAGACCTCAGCAGGACTACCTGAGTTGGACAATCTTTGGGATTCAGATTAGGACATGTAGGGACCTCGGCCAAGGTCAGTGTCTCATAAAACCTCAGGTTTCAAGTTGTTCTCTCCTCATTTAGAACTGTGCAATCCTGTTGCAGAACTGATTTAGTTGTATCCATTTCTGCAAGTCCATTTTCTTTCTGTCTAGGTTCTGTTTTCACATCATCCTCTTCTCCTTCTTCCCCCAGAAAATGGAGAATGTGGTCTCTGTGTCTACATTCCATGGGAAAGGTCCTTTACCTGGAGCTCAGGTGTGGCCCAGGCTGTGGCTCCTGTTGGATCTGGGAAAGTTTGATGGGATTGTATCACCCACCATTGCTAGGACCCTCCTGCTGTCACCTGTTCATGGACTCACTTTGTAAATGCAAGTGACCATTAGTATCTGAAAGAACAAAATTGATTGGTCAACTGGGATGTGTCTCTCACAGAGTCACATTCACCACCTATGGCATTGGGGAGACCTGTAGATGGAAACCTCATTATGCTGAGTGTTCTGAGGTGGCATCAAGTTCTGTGTGATTGGTGTCCTTTTGGTCCCAGCATAACAACACAACACCCTGCAGTCCAGTCCCTCCCCTGTGAAATGCATGCCCCAGATGGTCCTTTGTGCAAGAGTCTCCTCATTTTCTCCCCTTTGCCTCTCCTGACTGCCCTCTCCTATGTTCACCTCCTTCCTAAGGAAAGCAAAATCATTCCTTGTTTTTACGCTGATACCCATCGTTATCTAGAAGGAACCAGTGTCATGTATTGAACAAGTTTTGTCTCTATATTATGTGGGATTCATGATAAATTTCTTCCATAACTCAGCCTTAATCATGGGAGATACTTGTGTAAAATTATGCCCATCATCAATCTTAGGAAGAAATTTCCATTCTTGCATTATGTCCATGTCTACCTTAGACACAGCTGTGTCCTCATTGTAAGTAGGAAACTGTTAACTGTGTGAGAGGGTTCACAACCCTGTACAGTCCCTGCCTATTAAATGGATACAGAGTCAGACAGGAAGGTGGTATCAGCAAACTGAATATCAGGGAGTGTGGAATGAGGGACAGGACCAGCAGGGCAGAAGTGACTACTGTCCTTTAGAGTTACATTGTTGATTGTAGTTGTTTATAGTATTTTAATTCAAAATTCCTACAGCACTAAAACACACTTGATTTATGGAAAATTTTATTATAGAATCGGTGTTCTATAAACCACCCTGGGAATTTCCAGTTCTGCTGTGCAGTGGGTTCCAAGGATGGTATCATAGGCCAGACTTTGAGAAGAATTATTTCCAGGTACATGTTCCTGGTCATATCTCACAACTTCTATATGTGTCTAGGGTTACTTTTACATCTGTAAAATACATAGAAACTTCACACCTACAGCACATGGTTTGTATGTGTTTGCAAACTACGTAAGTGAAGAGGACTTAGTTATTTCTTACAGTAAAGTCACACAGATAGCTCTGAGCCCTGTACTCTCCTCAGACTTCCCCACTCAGAGCACATTACATAGCAGGGGACATGCAAATAGGGCCCTCCCTCTGCTGATGAAACAAGCCCAGCCTTCAACTTGCATCTCTGTGAGAGGAGTCCCTGCCCCAGCATTCCCAGGTGCCCCCATTCAGTGATCAGGACTGAACACAGAGATTCACCATGGAGTCTAGGCTAAGCTGGGTTTTCCTTGTTGCTCTGTTACAAGGTAATTCATGGAGAACTAGAGGCATTGAGTGTCTGAGTGGATGTGAATGAGAAACAGCAGACGTGTGTGGCAGTTTCTGACCAGGATGTGTCTGTGTTTGCAGGTGTCCAGTGTGAGGTGCAGCTGGTGGAGTCTAGGGGAGGCTTGGTCCAGCTGGGGACTGGGGAGTCCCTGAGACTCTCCTGTACAGCCTCCTGATTCACTTTTAGCACCTACCAGAAGCATTGGATCCGCCAGGCTCCAGGGAAGGGGCTGGAGTGAGTATCAGAAATTAGTGGTGATGGTGGTAGCACATACTACGCAGACGCCATGAAGGGTCCATTCACCATCGCAAGAGACAATGACAACAACTCGCTCTTTCTGCAAATGAACAGTCTGAAAGCCGAGGAAACAGCAGTGTACTACTGTGTGAGTGACACAGTGAGCGGACATCAGTGTGAGCCCAGACACAAACCTCCTGTGGGGACGTGCCGGGCCACCAGGGGGGAGTGTGGGACCCTGGAAGCCTAAGAAAGAGCTGTCGGGCAGCTGCAGGTGGCCAATAACGGTTGGTTTCCTGTCACAGTTTGGGACCTCCTCTCTAGAAATTTCATCCTGGGACCTATCTATCTTTTGTGCTCTGTGCTTGTCACTGTAGTGTGTGAATTAGAAACGTCTTGTTGTAGTAAATGAACATATTTTTACCTGCACACAAGGCAGAACATCATTCACATGGGCAGAGATGGCCCTGCTGTGACACTTGGATCAGAGTCCTGAGGAAGCCCAGGCAGACCTGCTAAGCATTTTACAACCAGTTTCAGTACACAGACCTCAGCAGGACTCTCTGAGTGGGACAGTCTTTGGGATTCCGATTAGGACATGCAGGGACCTCAGCCAAGGTCAATGTCTCATAAAACCTTAGGTTTCAAGTTGTTCTCTCCTTATTTAGAACTGTAAATTCCTGTTGCATAACTGATTCAGTTGTACCTGTTTCTGAAAGTATATTTTCTTTCTCCCTAGGTTCTATTTTCACATCTTCCTCTACTCCTTCTTCCCCCAGAAAAAGGAGGATGTGTTCTCTGTGTCTAAATCCCATGGCCAAGGCTCTTTACCTGGAGGTCAGGTGTGGCCCCGGCTATGGCTCCTTGGGATCTGGGAAAGATTGATGGGACTGTCTCACCATCTTTGCTGGGACCCTCCTGCTGTCACCTGCTCATGGACTCACTTTGCAAATGCGAGTGGTCATTAGTAGCTGAGAGAATATGATTGATTGGTCAAAGTGGGATGTGTCCACTGAGACTCTCACAGAGTCATCTTCAACACCTATGGCATTGGGAAGACCTGTAGATGGAAACCTCAGTGTGCTGAGTGCTCTGTGGTGGTGTCTAGATCCTTGTGTGTGGTGTCTTTGTGACCACAGTATGATGACACAGCACCCTGCAGTCAAGTCCCTCCTGTATAAAGTGCCTGCCCCAGAGGTCCTTTGTCCAAGAGCTTCCTCATCCCCCCTTCTCTGTTCCTCCTGACTGACCCCTCCTGTGATCTCCTCCTTCTGATGGAGAGGAAAATTATTTCTTGTTTTTACTCTCATACCCATTGTTATCAAGAAGGAACCTGGTTCAACTGTTTAACAATTATTTTTGTCTAAACCACTTGAGATCCACAAAAGATTTCTTCCAAAATGTACTGTTTCATCATGGCAGATTCTCATGGAAAATGAGGCAAGCCATCCATCCTATGAAGATATTTCAATTCTTGAGAAATTTTTATGTCTTCCTGGAGACACAGATGAGTCCTTATTGCAAGGAGGGAAGAAACTAAATGTACGAGAGGCTTTGTGGTATTCTATGATCCCTGCCTATGAGATGGCTTTGGAGTAAGACAGTGAAGGGTGAAAACATAACAGTGTGTATCATGGAGTGTGGAGGAAGGGACAAGGCCACCAGGGCAGAGGGGAGTGCTGTCCTTTGGAGTTTTTGTTGTGGTTGTTTGTTTGTTTGCTTTTTATTTGTTTACAAAAATTTTCTCTTCAAATTTCCGAGGGAATGAAAACATACTTTATTTATGTAAAGCCTAGGAAAGCTTCCCAGCTCAAGTGTTGTTGAGTGTATACCAGGCTTCAAGAAGCCATGTGTGCCCCGGTCATGGACAGGGGAAAGTGTTCGCTCAGCATGTAAGTGAGGGACAGGGATGATGGACAAAGAAGGCAAGTGTCCTCCTGGGTAGACTAGGACTTGGTGACTCCGTTGGCTGAATCTGAAAGGGCCTGGGCAGCTGCACCTGGGTTTGTCCCAGAAAAAAGGGCATCTGATGAAAGGACCTGTTGTTGAGGAATTTGGGAGCAGAGTGAGTAGTATGGAAACCCACCTGGCGGGGTCACCCATGAGGGTTTGAAAGGTACGAGAGACACAAAACATAGATATCATTCTCAATAGAAGTAGCAAATCATTTTTCATCAGAATCACTAAATGTTAGAAGAGAAAATTATATAGTCAAAGTGATGAGGAAAATGATTAAAATTTGAAAACGAAGAATATTTTCCCAGATACTTTTACTTCAAAAACAAGGAAGACATTTTTTAAAATCTCAGACAAAAAAAAAGATAATGGAGTTCATTACCATTATGACTGCCTTATAGTACGAAAATGAGGGTTTTTAGCTGAAAAAGTCCACTAATTAATAATATAAAACTTATGAAAGCACAAAACATAATGGTATAATTAACATAGAGACATATGAAGAGTATTCTATAATTATAATGTCGGTATGTGAAAGAATTTTGTTTCTCAAAAAGGGTTAAAATACAAAATTATTAATAACAACTATCTTACAAAATTATGTGAATTCTGACATCAGAAACATGTAATGGCTGTGTGCAAAAGTGTGAAATTTTTGATATGCAATGACAATTCACTTGTTATCAATTA